TTGGGTGAAGTGGTAGTAGTGATTGGAATTTGAGTGGAAGATTCTGGAGAAGTAGGTGGAGCTAGATTTTCGTGGAAGTTAATATACCATTGTCGTCAAAATGTTAATGAGGAGAGAGAAAGAGAAGATGAAGAAGAAGAAGATGTCGTTTGTTTTGGTGGTGTAATTGGCTCCACCTCCGTCGAGGCCGGCGAAACAGTTGTTGTTGTTCAACTTTTTTTTTTTATTTTTTCTTTCTATCTCTTTCTTTTCTCAGTCACTGCCGTTGTTGTTGTTAATATACCATTGTTGTTGTTGTTAATATACCATTGTTGTTGTTGTTCAACTTGATGGAGTGATGGGTAAGATTTCCACTTTTGAACTTTAATTGCAATATTTTAACTTTTAGGTTTATTATTCCGTTATATGAGTACACGTATGAATTATCTCTGAAGCTTTTTAAATTTATCATCTACTCCCGAGTATTTAAAAAAATTCATCATATGCCCTTGATGACTAATAATTGTTATTTTCGTCGGTCATTATAGCTAAGTATGATCCGAAACCACCCTAAATACATTTTCCTACCCTCGAAATCACCCACATTCCTTTTTCCCTCCCTCAAAAGCACCACAAATTTCCTTTTCTCATCCTCAAAATCTATCATACGAATATGGTTTTGTAGATTTGGAGTGATTTGGGGGGTTGGAGAAAGGAGAAGAGTGGTTTCGGGGATGGGAGAGAAAGATCTAAGGTGATTTCGATGCATAATTTACCAAATTCCACTCATCTTGTTTTAATTAGGGATATATGGTGAATTTTTGTAACAACTCAGGGGTATATGGTGAATTTGAAAATTTTCACGGGTATTTGATGAATAAACAAAATACTCAGGGGTATATGGTGAAAAAACCGAATGAAATATTTCCTTTTCTAGCGATTTATCTCTATTTTTTAATAATATTCTCTTTACTTTTAATAACTAATAATCCCAACAAAACCCCTTACTTTCTTCTCTCTCCTCAAACTTATACCCCACTACTTAATACTATTATTTTAATAAATTCAACTAATCTTCCTAAAATTCCATTGGGACCATTGGAAGCAAAGTCAAGACATAGTTATTATTATTAAAAAAAAATAAAAAAAAAACTTAATTGAGATTATTAGAAGTAAATCAACAATAGTTGTGATTATTAAAGTGTGTTTTTCCTAAAAGATAAGTGAGGTAGTTGGTGTATTCAAAAAATGGTAAAAGTGATAGAGGAATTACTCCGTTCATACTCATTTAATTGTCCAATTGTATTTTTTGGGTCAAACTTTTAAACCTTTGGCCAAAAAACCTCACTAAGCTACCGTATAAAGAATAATATGGTCAAATAAGATCTTGTTATATTCTTTACAATATCTACTTTTAAATTTTCATTTTTACTAAAATTTTAACGTATATATAATTAGACATATTAATGATGAACATATGTAAAAAGTCATGAAAAGTCAAAATGGAGCAAAGAATTAGGGACATAGGAGTAGTTGATATAAATGGTTGTATTAATCGGTTTGACTTACTGATTACATTAGATGCTTTGACTAACTCTTTACGAGTAAATGGATTTGACTTATTGGTTACATAAGATGTTTCGACTAACTCTTTAGATGAATTTGATTTACAGGTTACATTAGTTGCTTTGACTAACTCTTTAAATCATCTACTCGTACATTATCAAATTATCTTATTGCTATAATTGCTCAAATAGGTCTTCTAAAAAACTGGGTTGAACAAATTTTTCAATTCAACTTGCGGAACTCCAATCATTTATTTTTCAAACACCAAAAATATTTGATTTTGTCGTCAAATTATCTAATTGCTAAAAAAACACTAAAATCTCATCAATCATCTCTTTGTCAGAACAGGGAAAAATTCTTATTATGTGAAACCAACACATCATACATTTATAGTAATGATGTCTCCCTTCGTCTCTTATTATTTGTCCAATTTAATCCAAAAAGCTCTCATATAAAATGGGCTGATGGCACAAACAAATAGGGACTGAATGAGTATTACTTAAGTTATTCTTATGGTAAATAACTATTGATTATAATCCCTAACCTAAGTGTATTTTAACTAGCCATACAAACCATATACTGCTTACTTCACATATAAGCTATGAATCATGTTAATGTCTATGTTATGGCTATATATATTTCCTTCGTTTCAAAATTACTATGTAGCAATGTAGTTGACATGTTTTCTCTTTCGGCACTATTAATAAATTGTACTTTGAATATCTGTTGTGATTGATAGATAAGTTGTACAATTTTCATTGCAATATTATAATTGATATATCTCAAGTTACGTATTACAAATTGATATGTTCAATTTATATAGAGATTTACTCCCGTCCCTTGGTCATATTTAGAAGTATTTTTGGCTCTTTGTAGCCACTTTTATTACTAATATGCGTTTTCTAATGTTCTCGTAGTCTTGGTATTATTTATAGGAAATTGCGGATTTGGAGCATTTTCCCGCACTTATTGGAGCCACTACAAGCGTTGGAGCAGGAGCGCATTAATATTACCATTTTCCGTATTAGAGTTATCAAACCGGTGATTAAGGGCTCGACAAAGAAGAAGAGTTCGAGGCATTGGACCGAGTAGTAAAGACCCAAAGAGTAAATCCGGATTAGGCTAAAAAACTGGCCCCATCGAAGTCCATGTTTGCCCGAGTGCTCGCCCGACCGGGAAGGTCCTCACCCTGAGGCTAGCCCAATCGGGCGAGGAAGAAGGAAGAGAGCAGCTCTCTGCCCGGGCGCGAGCAGAGGTTCCCCTATCAAAAAGGCGGGCCCGGCCGGGCGAGATGGCGCCTGACGGGGCATGTGTTTTTAAGTGATGTTTAAGCGTCTTTTACTTCGATTAAGCTTAGGATTTTTCAACTAAAGTATAAATATGCTTTTCTAAGCGAGATTTTTGGGACGTCATTCATTAGTTAAATTCTCAAATTTTAGTTTTAAGCTTTTGGTTAATACACTTGTTCTCTCTCTACACTTTTAGTTTATGCAATTCATTATTTGATAACGATTTCTTCCCCTTTTATTTTCAGTAATTTAATTGCTTTGATTAATTATGTCTTGTTTGTTTGCTTTGCTTAGTTTAGATTTAAATATGTGTGAGTAGTTTTATTTCTAAGGTTGTGGGGATCCAAAAATAATATGAATGGGTAATTTATTATTGTTGATTGTCAATGTTTTGGTTGATTTCCTATTGATTGATTTAATGCTATACAATTAGATTAGACCTGGTTTAATTGTATGAGTTATGCAATATTGATTCGAGATTCGAGAGATGAGAATTGATGTTTAGGCATAGTTTCAATAGGCAGGTTAATTTATAGATGGTTAAATCAAGATTCGAGAGATGCAATTTAATACCAGTAGATTAATTCTATGATTGTAATACATAGCGAAAGCCCTTTATGATCTGATTAATTGATGCATTGATAATTGATTGTTGTGTTTTACCCTGTAATATTATTTATTGGTGAACCTATACCATAGGCTTTGATTTATTGATTTCTCCCTAATTTAATTTGCTTTAGTTTAATTATTTCCCTTAGTTTAATTCCCATAAAAATAATTTGGTTACTTGATAATCTAGATTATATTAATTATTTAGAAATAGAAAAACTTTTTTTCCTGTGGATTCGACCCTACGTTTCCTATCTTCTTTAGCTAGAGGACTTAGGTAATTCTTTTGATTAGGAGATACGACTAGAACCTGTCACAAATACTACAACAACATCAAAGTCTCAGTCCCAAAATGAAAATTATATTATAACAAATAAGTATAAATAAAAAAAAAATCTAAAAATTAAAAATCAGGATGATTTTAACAAAATTACACATGACTATGGTTTGTAGAATAGAAAAACATTAAAACATAAGATTCTAATGCTTCTATTTGCATTAGAATCCTTCAAGATTTCAAATATAACAAACAAAGAAAACGGATGGAGCATAATCATGTGGTATTTTGTTTTCTCTATATTAAAAATATCAAAAAAAAAAAACATAATTTTTATTTTTTAATATTTAGAAATATGAAGTATTAAATATTATATAGAGCATTGGTAAACAACTAAACATGATATTAAAAAAAAAATGTTAACTAATTTGGAAAAAGGGAGTATTTAGGCTATGTTTAGCTCAAAGTTACTTAAGTTGATATGAATTTATTTCACAAATAATTAGATCTAATTAGATCATATCTTTTAATTTACATTTATTTAGTTCTTCGTATTAAATATTTGAAAGTATGTTATACGAATCTTATTACATCTCATTTGATAATTTTGTACCTTATAAAATATAGTATACAATACTACAATTTAGGTTAAAATTTGATCAAATCTGATAAATAAATCAGATTCAATCAAAAAAATTTGGATAAAATCAGATGATTTATTTAAACTGAACATAGCCTTAATGTCCATTTAAAAAGTATTCCAAAAAGTGAATTATGTCTAGTGTCAATTATATCTCAATTTTTCCCAACTTAGTGAAGGAAGGACCTCACAGACTCAATCACCAAGTGTGGTCCAAATGTTTGATTTGATGGGGACAATGAGACTATGAATAAAGCAAGCACGCAACACTTTCAGTTACTCCTTCCGTGTTTTAATAAGTGTTATATTGATCGGCACATAATTTTAGGCAATTTAATTGACTTAAATAAAATAAAAGGTAAGTGAGGTATTTGGAGTATTAAAAAATTGTAGAAAAAAAAATAGTAAGGTTAATAGTTTATTAAAAAGTAATGAATGTGAGAAGAAGTATATAATAAAAAAAGTAATAGTTGGTTTAGGTGAAAAACATGAGAGGAAAGAGATATAATATTTAAAGGTAGTTTTTGCCAAAAAAGGAAGTGTAACACTTATTAAAATACAGAGGGAGTAATAAAATGTAATGTGCATTTATCACAACCCTTTAGCCGGGCATAGTTATAAGATTTTGTGTCGTTAAACATTTTTTTTTTTTTTTTTTTTTTGGGTAAGAAGAAGGGGCCGGAACCTCTCACAGATCCTCTCAACCCGAGTTACCGTTCTTTCAAATTGCCCCATCAGTGTGGCCATTAGCAGCCCACCGCTACTGGCGGCGTATGTTGTATCTATTGCCTGTTCACTACCATGTCAAAAGGTAAAAACCAAGCCATAAATGAAGTAGATTATTTAGTAAAGAGTACCGCCGATGCTTGCATTAGCCGCAAAAATGAGAGACCTGATGGCTTATAGCCGACACATACTAGTCCAGGTTCGCATGTCATTATATACAACTAGAAAGGTTTTCTTAGAATGTTCAATTATAGTAATCCATAATAAATTTCTTAATGTTGTAAATTGTAATGTCAGAGCCAACGGCTCGGATATTCGGCAGACCAAATTTTAGTTAGTTCCACTTTATCGGACAAAATATACCATCCATCAAATAAAGGGTTCCAAGTTAAAATATAAGATCAAAACAATCAAAATATCACTTTCTGTCAATTAACCTATTTTCTCCTATGAGATTACTTGAAAAATGAAAAAACTTAAACAAACTTGCAGATTAGATTTATTTGACAAACAACCCACCATTCGCCCGACCACTGGTTCAGATTACTTTTACAGTTTTACCTTAAATGGTAAAGCTTTAATCAAATTTGATTCAGATAATCTTTGATAATGTCCCCATTACCACCCCAAAAAATGAATTTTCTTTTTTAGTTAGTTACTAGAATTAATGTTTTGGCCTTGGGACCTCTTTAGGAGAGCAATTGATCTGGCCAGCATTCAACTTTGCCCTCTGGGTTTCCCAGGCAAAGTTGTAAAAAATCATGCTTTTCTGTACATCGCATCAAGTTAAATCATCCCTGCTTATCCCTTCACTTTGCAAGAAAGGCACCACCACATACCTGCAATATTCAACATTTTAGCCTCTGCGATCAACCTCTCTTTAACCCATGACACTGATTCCCCCACCAAAAAGCTACAGCCAAGAAAATGGCTTCTCACCCTCTCTATATTGTCAAACTGTAGAGCATCAACTACCTCCCTCAATTCCCTATGGCATCGAGCATCACCAATTTATCCCATATTTCCCAGCAGTTGCTACATTCTACACCTACCTTGGCTGTAATATCCAATCCTTTAAAACAAACACAGCCAGCCACTTTTGCTGGGCACCCAGCCATACATTACCCGATCAAGCATCACTAGGGACAAGCCATCCTAAATGTCCGGCGAAAAGTCAGGGGTGAAAAGATAGGGCTGGTCCTCACCACCAAAACCACATTTTCAATATCACTGGCAAGGAAGGTCTGAAGGTCAGTTTCCCCTTGGTTCCAGCTTTTCATGAATTTGAGGAAGGCTACCTTAAAATATCAAACTGCACTCAACAGTTTCTGTTCGACCAGAGCTGGACACACTATAACCTTTCACGATTTCACAGCAAAATCTTGCTCATTTACCCTTCTGTAAAGTAATGCAGAAGCTTCCACCCTGTCATGCAGTTGAAAATAATAATAGTAATCATCAGAACAAATTAAAAAAAGAATAAAGATCTACTAACAATAATAATTAATACTCCGTATTATGCTTTAAAATAAACTAGGGTTGGACACTTGGACAGGCAGAAATTCTCACCAGCCAGGATGCACAACAAATTTTCCAGTTGATATAGCCCAGTTAACCTGCTCCAAATCAAATAAAATCAAGGCCTACTGTTAAAATGAAAAAGATTTATGGGCAACAGGTAATTGTTCTGGATCAAACAGCCATGCAGAACGATTAATCACTAACAGTTCAATCAACGATTTACAGTCAACTGGGGAAAAAAATAAAATACCTTGTCAGTCCCAAGAGAATTGGCCACTACATGGGTAACTTGTTCGTCTATTTGGTTGGTGCACACAGCACCAAACTGCTCTGCTGTCTGCCAAAGTGGGTGTAAGTGAGGTTTAACTTCCCCAACAGGGAAAACCCTGCTAAACACAATGCGGCAGCCAGCAAGAATCTTTCGCTGCTCAGCAGCCAAGATATTTCTCACATCCACATCATCCAGGGAGTTGTGAGCAAAGAAATTATGGTGTATCCTCTCTATGACCTGTTTCACAAATAAATAGACAAGAGCCTATGTAAACAATTCTTATTTCTAATAATGTGCTTAAATGACAAATTTGGAGGGAACGTGTGGAGAGGGAGAATGAAAAATCTATTTTTATTATTTGTACTTTCTCCATTTCTTTTTAGTTGCAGTCTTTCTAAATAAGGAAGTTTCAAATCAGATGCACCACTTTCCTTTTTAGTTAATAAATTCTCTCTATCTCTATCATATCACATGGGTCCTCTTTTTTCCTTTCTGTCTATCTCTCATCTCCAAAAACTATCTAGGAGTCCATGTTTTTACAAATGATGCATCTAAAAAACACCTTTCAGGAATTATATGGGATGAGGAGGGGACAGAGAATAGGAGTGATCCATTTTTCCCCCTTTTAATTAATCCAAAACCCTTAAAATAATTAAGGGGTCATTTGGTTGGGGGTATTCAACAAAGAGAATGGGAATCGACGGGAATCATTCCCTTTGTTGTTGTTTGTTAGGCCAATTTTCCAATCCCCTTTACCCCCTTCATTCCCTCAAATCCCTCTAAGTTCATTCCCCACCCCCTAGCCTTTTCCATTCCCTTTCCTTAGCCAGCATTACACCACCGTGCCTACACCAGCCACCACCCTTCTACCCAACCCCCACCGCACAACCACCACCCAGCCACCTCACCGCTTTTCCCCTGGCCATCGCCGTCCCTTCTCCGCCACTTGCCGACCTTCGGTAAGCTCGCACCTCACTCGAAAATCTTCCCCAACCCCTCGTCGGAACTCACTGCCCTGTTTGCACTTCCCTCACCCCTTGCCGGAGGTTGTCGCACCTCCCCCATCCCTCAAAAATCACCCAACAACACCGGAAACGCCAACTCTTACCCAGAAACCCCACCCAGCCCCCTCCTCCGATCACCCATCCGGTCACCTTCCTTGTTCTTGAAACCCCAATTCGAAACCCAGCCCTAACCAAGAAATGAGAGATGAAGATCCATGGAAACCACTTTGGGGCTAGACAATTTAGGGTTTGCGAAAACGAATCTCAAGGACTCACAAATCAATTTCAAGGAAAACGATTGAAAAACGAAATTTTCAGGGAGAACGAATTGAAGAACGATTTTCAGATGAATCTAGGGGGAACGAAATTTCAAGGACTAAGAAAATTGATTGAAGAACGACATTCGTGTGTGGTGGTGTGCTGTGGTGGGGGTGATTCCCTTTATATTTTTAAAACAAACAACACACTACATGAAATGGTTTTTCATTCCATTCTCTTTCATTCCCTTTGTTCATTCCATTCCGATTCCCCTGCGCGAACCAAACGGTCCCTAGAAGATTTGGAATGAAGAAGGAAGCACATGCTCTCTATTCCCTGGAGCCCTCACCTCCCTGCTCTTTTCCTTGAAAAATAGTAACCAACTTCACACTTAAATCTCAAGAAACTTCTGCAATAGACTTACTGCCAAAGACGATGCCAACGTTCCTTCTTCTGGTCTCTCATCATGGTCAATCTCAAGAAGTGAAGGTCCTGGGAGCCCAAATTGCCTCCTACTACAAGGAAAATAAGTATACCTGTGGGACAAACGATTGTGAGGTGTATACAAAGCAGTGAAAACACAGCAGAGACAAAAGCATAAATACAAAATAAAATCCAGGACATTACACACTACTTGTATTCGCTCACCTTTCCACAACTATCAGATTTAGCTTGTTATGTGGCCAAACTCTAGCAGAATCATCAATTATTACAACAGAAGATTCCATGCCCAAAACACCCTCTAAATCCTTACTCTTGGGTACCCTCTCATCTCCATCAACGGTATCCCCATCATCACCCCGTGAAATAACTCGCCCAGAAAACAAACTTCCCTTTGGATCAAGCACTTTGGCCATCTCAGTGGCATACAACTTGTTCCCCATGGTATATAGGTGAAGTTCATAAAGCTTACTAGCCTGGAAAATTAGCAAAAGTGCTCAAATTAATCACGCTGCACTAAGCCACGAAGGTCCAGCCAGTAAAGGGGTGAAACTAATATTGTTGCAGACATACATACCTTCTCCAAGAAATTCCAAATACCAGGCCGTAGCTTTGTCCACATCGCCATATGTGGAAAGCGAAAGAGATGTCGCCGGGGCTTTTCACGATCTTGTTCCTCTTTCTTTCTCAAAATCTCATCATGCACAGGATCTACCTCCGAGAACTGTGAGGAACCAGATCAGATGATTATCTATGTAATGTCAAGAGCACCAATAATATTAAAATAGCAGAGGCACTTAAGTTATAGCCTTAAGCACCACACTCACTTTTGCTGAATTAAGCAGCGTATGATCCAGATCCAACACAAGGCACAATTTGTGGGAAGCAAACATTTTCTTCTGCTCATCAAGCCTTCTAGTTCTCTCTTGCTGTATAGCAGCCTTTTGCTGATCATCATATCCATCAAAATAATGCTCAACATCTCCCCAATTGTTCTGCAATTGTGCACCAGTAGAAGCTTCTTCAGGCTTCAATGCAGACCCACTACGCTGGTCGCCAGTATTTAATACTCCACCAGAACTACCAGTTGTTGCTCCACCAGAACTAACACTTTTGCTGTCCAAATTAACTTGCACAGATGGAGAACTTAATGCAGGTGGAGACTGAATACTGGAAGTTTGTGGGGCAGAAATAATGTCAGCGATATTTTTCAAATTCTTAGTAAACTGCTTAGTAATATCAGGCAAAACTGGGGTCTGAGAAGATGCAGCACTAAGGCTTTTCACGTTAACATGCCTTTGGAGATTGAAATTGTCTTGGAGTCCTTGAGTAGTTGCATTTTGAACTCCATTTACTTTTGTCTGCTCTGGTATAGAACTTCCAGTCCTTTGAACCAAATTGGCATGTAGGACACGACGAGGGTCACGGGGTTTCATGCGATGTTTTGTCAATTCATCCTGTGGGCTCTGCAAGTACATCATGTTTACAAAATATTAGCAATTAGCCTCAGTTTTTATGATTAGGCATGATTTCCAAAGCTTCAAAACAACGGTTCAAAGAAAGCAAGCATAAATTACACATAGTAGCCTTGTTGGTACATGGGATAACCTAAGATGGCCAAGCCAAGAGCAACATAGAGCAAACCACTAATAAAACAATGTATGGGGTATATATTATCATACTAAATCTTAATAATGTACAAAGCAACTCCATGCAGACAAGAGACAAGACCACAACTAGCAGCTCAAAGCCTCAAATGAGAGAACTTAAGTGGCCAATTGCAAAGAAGGTAACAAAGCACCAAAAACATTTTTAATTCATTTTTTAAAATGGGAACCCCATAATCAAAGGGAACAGTGTCTCACCGTGACTGCTATCTGAGAAGGGACCTGAAGCAATCCTGCACTTGCCTGCCCCACCCCAGGCGAAGTTGTTGGAGAAGTGCTAGGCGAGGGAGATGTTCCTAGTATTGAATTTGAGTTTGCAGAGTGTGATACACTTTGTAAAGATTCACTGGATTTTTTCTGCTCCTTCATAATATTTATCCATGCTGCTGGATTCCCTGCAATGCCTTTTAACAGAGACTGCAAGGACGAGGTGCCGCTGGTATTCTTTGTGGACTGAGTAGTTGTATTCACTGTCGCACTGGAATTAATAGTAGTAATCCCAGAAGAAGCGATACCACTTCCTATTTTCCTAGGATCAACAGCCGGACCCAACAGCCCTCTGCTTGCAAATTGTGGTCCTAGAATACTACTAGTCTCCACTCCAGTACTTCCAGGCAAGGTTTTTACTAGATTTGCATTTGTGGACATCTCTTTGGTAACTAGGACATTTCTTGGTCTCTTGGCAACAGGACCATCTGAGAGGGGGCCCTCAAGTGCCTTAGTCTTCTTAGGATTCATTATCTCGCCCAACGGCTCTAATTTAGCTGCTGAGCTGGACACCATGGGTGAAGGGCAGAAACTAAGGTCTAATGAGCCAAAACTGGGATTAATATGCCGAAGTCTAGGATCTCGACTCTTTGCAGTGGGCTGTGATGAAGAAGAAGATCCAGCCCAAGAAACTCCAGCACTAGTGCCACTAATCACCCCTTGGACACTTGAAGTACTTGTATAAGTAGCAGAAGAAACAGCTGGTTGTGGAGCGACAAAGGAATTTGTATTCCTACTAATAATATTATTATAGGCAGCAGAACTAGAAACCTCCTCATTGGAATCATCAGCTCCTCCATCATTACCATCTTCGGAAGGAGTTGGGCTAGGAAGTGTGTCAGTTGCTTGGAATGTACTCCGAACATACCTTTGTTGGTAGCTTGAGACAGCGTTCACTGCTTCAGTTTGATAGGGATGCACCCCAGATTTCTGCAAACCATGGACAACACGGGGGAAAGCTGCTTCAAAGAAAGGCAAAGGAGGCGCAGATTTGCTGGTGGGTGATGGAAGACTGTCTTCATCATGAACCGTATGGAGATCTAGCAGAGGACCAAAATTGCTTCTTGCCTTTACATTAGAAGGAAGTTGCCTCAATGCTTCTGACAGAATGTCAGTGTTCTTTCTTTCCGACTGATAAACAGAAGATTCAAGTTCCAATTTCTTCAAATACTGGGAACTGTTGTCACCAGTATTTACAGTTAATGTATTCGAATCAGTGAGGATAGCCTTATCTGTAACTGACAGTTCTTCCTGCCTGTCCCTGGACTTGGGCTTCACTGAAACCACCGGTGGTGGAGGGTTAACAATGGCAATCATGCCCTCCACCTAATAAACATAATACAATCAAATTTCAATACTAGATCGAATCGGAAGTAAGTTCATATGATTAAAGAGAGAAAACATTGCAGTAAACCAACCTCTTTCCTCTGTTCTGGTGTAAAAAGAGCAGAACTGAGGCCCTTAACAAAACTAAGCAGTCTGCATTAAAGAATTGAAGGCAAAAACAGTACTTGGTTGGTCAAAAGAGGGAGAAAACAAAACAATGGCCTCATTTACTACTGAGTGCTTAAAATATGTAACTGAGACAATGAAGGGAACAAAAGAAAGACCTTGACATCCTATCCTTATTCTGATCTTTTAAAGTAGGGGTCATTGAACTGTAAACCTGAAAGAAAAAAAAAAAAGTAACAAACATCATACATTTAAACCAAGAAACTTCCCTCTAGAATTCCCATTATAACACACTTCAAGCAAGCTTACGAAATCGAAATCTAGCATTTGTATTAAAACTGAATTGAATTCTCAAGGTTCGAAAAGAAAAGAATATTGGCTTACAGTGTAAACACACTGGACAGCAGCAAAAGCTTGTTGAATAAGCGCATCTTTGGAAGGAAACCAGGTATGCAACACCAATTCTTTCAAGCTCTCTAAGGAGCCCTTCAACCGAGCACACACGATATCGAATGATCTAAACAACGAACGAACAAACAAACACACACACACAAACAACAATCAATCAATCAATTGTTTCTCCTGATAAATTATTCCAAAGAGAAAGTCTTAAACTTACTTATTGGCTTCAGCAACAGTGACATTCTGAAGAACTTTACGAATAGAAGAAACCTGATTCTCCAACTCTTCATCTTCCATTTCCAAACCCCCTAACCTACTAAATTCATCTTCAACCTTTTTATTAGCATTATTAATAAGTTTATTATGATTACTGTCAGTTTCGTCCTCGGAATCGAAATCAATCTCGCCTTCTTCCAATTCACCTTCTTCCTTCTCACTATCAACCATTTCAGCAACTCCATTATTACCACTACTATCTAACTGCTGCTGCTGCTCCTTCCCTGCATCAGCAGCAGCAGTATCATCACTAACTTTATTACTACTGTTTTTATCATCCAATTCTACCAGTGCTTCATTCAAAGGCTTATTCTGTACAGCTTGCGCCCACGCTAAATTATGAAGACCTGAAGCTCCATATCCTCTTGGATAATACTTGTACAAATTATTCATCCAATACCTGTTGTTGTTGTTGTTATTGTTTTTGTTATTCGATGTCGAATCCGATGAAGCCGTTGTTGTCTTGCTCATTGATTGTTGTTGTTTCCATGGCTTAATTTCATCCTTACTAATCTCAACAATGGCGTCTGTATCTGCTTCTGAGATTTCACCTTCTTCACCTCTATTAATCTTCATCTTCACATCGCTTCCCATTTGAAATTAAACTACCTAATCTAGGGTTACCCGATCTATGATATTATACAACAAAATTATGTAGTTTTTAAGTTAGATCTGGAAATTTCCGTCAAAATTAGGGTTTCAGATTTGAGAAACTCTTTTATTTCTGGTCGAAATTACAAAAAAATTAAAGTCAGTAAGCCTATCAAATCTCAAATTAAGCGATTTTATCCGCCGAATTTGACGATCTATTCAATTGTTGATTTATTGAGATAATGAAATGAAGATCCAGAACAAAAACAAGAACACGAATTGAAGCCGAAAGAGGAGAGAGAAATGAGAAAGATGACGTTGATGATGATGTTAATACACAATTATACGATGGAAATGAAAGCAAAGCAAATTAAGAGGTTTAAATAAACCAAAATATTTGTAGCACACAGTTTGATATCGGATCTCAACCGTACACGTCAGCGATCCGAATCAAAAAGTAGTTTCCCAGCCTTTGGATTGATTGAATAAAGCAGCGCCAGTCGGCACTAAAGCCACTAATTATTGGGTTCACTTAAGGTTGTGTTTGCATGATATTAGGAATTTTAGTTTTGATTTAATTAAGCTCTAACTTGATTATTCATAAACCTTGAATATTATAAATTGACTTAGGATTTGTATGGATTAATGTTTTGGGTAATTGTTTATCATTTGAGATTAATTTATAAACATTAGTGAAGAAGCTTACTAAACTGACATCTCTGAAGGGGGAGGTAAAGGAACTTAGAAACCCCCTGCTCACAAGCAAAACTTGGGAGTTTTAATTGATTTGTATAAAACTTGATTTTTTTTATTTATTTTTATTCCAAATACAAGTTATAGAAATATTCAATTATAAACTTAATATTATTGGAGTGATGGTTAAAACTTTACATTAACAATGTGCGGCCTGAACATAGCTTGAATATACGATTTACAATTTAAGATACTTCTTGCTTCATGATAGTCAACTGTGAAACACTATGTATCAAAAATTAAGTGTTACTTCGGATACAATACAAATCAAGTAAATTTTTAAAAACTTTTATTGTACGAGTAGTTGTAGTTAGTGAATAACCATGTATCAAATATTTGTTTGCGTTTACTTATCTCTAAAAAACTTTAACTATGAAATTAAGAAAATTATGTAATATTTATATACGAAAAATACACATTACAAATTTAATAACATCTCATTTGATAATTTCTATCTTTTAGATAAAGTCACCTAAGCAAAAATGTTCGAAAAGGAACTTGTTCAGTTGTTCATCATACTTTTCTAAGGTAGATTTTTCTCAAAAAGTGGGCAAGCACAATATAACAAAATTTATCCCCCCCCCCCCCCCCCCAAAAAAAAAAAAAAGGAAGCAACTAGCACTATTTATAACAATGGGCTCAAGGTCAACTAAGCAACCTTAATAATATACGAAGTATGAAGCAAGAGTCATAATACTTGTAATATTTCCTTTGAATAAAGAATATCCTACTCCCTAAAATCTAATTTTCATGTAAAATTTAATTTCCATTGACATGTTTATCATTTTTGTTCGAGTATGGAGGATAAATTGTATCAAAAATAATTCTTGACAACATATATTGCACTTCATGCAAACTCCCAATAGCTAATGACTCATAGTTAATCTTAGTCCCATGCTTTGGTGCGAATCCTTTTTCCCTTCCCTTTGCAACACAACTTATAATCCTCTCTGTCCGCAATTGCAGTGGCAGTGAAATGAAAACCTGTAAAAATTAAGAAAGGCAAGCAGATTAGCAAAAATTAGCCACCCTTATAATCTAGCTGAAACCAACGAACAACGATAGTGATGATTTTACCACATTAAGCAGTAATAAACTTACCAAATCTGAAAATGGTGCCTGTGGATACTTTGCCATTGCTTGAGAAATAATAGTCTCATCAGTCATCTGACACAATGCTTTTTTAACAGCAGCAGCAAGATCTTTGACGTCATTTTCCAAATTCTCACCCATATTTTGATTCTGATCTTCAAGTAATTCACGGAAACCTGAAGCATGTGGTCGAGTGATGCTCTTAGCAATGTTTACCGCTTCAGGTAAAGAGCCACCATTGTGGACAGCTAGACAGAAAGCAGCAATAACCAAAGGATCCCGTGGTTGATCAGCCAATGCTTTGTGAAATGCTAATAAGCATATCCTGTAATGTGATGCAAACAATCAGAAATCGAAAAGCTTCAAGTCTGATGGATGGATGTATTAAATATTTATAAACCTATATAGACAAGGATCATGGGCTCCGTAAATGTAAAAACTTGCATCAAAACAAAAACAATGAAATATAATCTCCAAGTAAAATGCTACTCCCTTTGTCTGATAATTTCTGTCAAATTTGTGATGCACCAGGTTTATGGGGAGAGGCATTCTAGATTTCTAGGTAGTGCAATATGACTAATATTTCAAGGAGGAAGATAACTGAGTTTAATAAAAGGTTATTTATTTAATTAAAAGTGACTCTCTTCATCCCATAATAATCCATATTGGCATGGAAATCAAGAAGAGTGAAAAACGAAGAGAAAAAGTGGGTGAGTGAGTGTGAGGACCAAGCATAGAGAAGACGCAGAGGAAAGCCTACTATACAAAGTATGTATACGGAATATCTCAAAAAGGAATATGCATAGTTTAGTATAGGATAGGGAGTTATCAAATTACTCATACACATTTACGGGAGGGAGTATATGCAAACAGAAGAAAACAACTATAGCCAACATCTAAAATAGATTTCTGCTGATGGTGTGGTACGGGAAAGCCCTTGATCAGTCCAAACTAGCAACACCGAGGTATGGATTTTGCCGACTGACTTGTTGGGAGACCCAACAATTTCCAAAACCATAGAAGTGGAGAAGTAGGCAAACACTATATATTAAGCCACATCATCCAGATGACAGAATTGCTAAATTTACTATAAAGCTAGATATACACAAGAAAGAAAAAAAATTAAAAGCGTTCATATGCTGAACAATGACTGATGAATTGCAAAGGGATCCAATTGTCGTTTAACACCTTGTTTACATGAATATGATACAGAAACAAAATCTACAAAATAAATGTAAAACCAAAAATTGATTGATATTTGATACTCCCTCCGTCCCTTTTTTATTGTCCCATAGAGCAAAATTCACTTATTTCAAGAAACAAAGCATAAATTGTGCACATGAGGAAACAAAGCAAAAATTGCGCACATGAGGTTACGTACGTGTACGTGTGTGTGTGTGTGCGTGTATGTGTGCGCGCGCGAGAGAGAGAGAGAGAGAGAGAGAATTGGGTTGCGAGTGAGAATATTTACCAAATAGGGTAATGGAGCAATCTCAAAAGAATACCCCAAAAAGGAATACGGGGCAAACAAAAAGGGTCCTAGGGAGTAGGAACTAGAAGTACTCAAATCCAAGTCACCTGATACTTTAACATACAACATTTTCAGCTATAATACCAACCTATAAGCAGCAACATCAAATACTGATTGGTCCATGCAACAGCAATCAACCAAAGCTACAATTATCTAGGCAGGTGAAATTTCTTACCACAAGCTGCTATGGCATGGGCGATCTGGTGCTAGGAGTTTATCCAGATTTGAAAACAAAGACTGCAGACAAGTCAAACACAATATAAGCATGTAGCACACTGTTGGCTAGAATAGAATGACTGAAACTTAGTGGTGAAATACTTTAATTTAGTGACCAAAAGTACAAAACGAAGAGATTAAGGACTGAAACGAGAGATTAAGGGACGAAGAAGTAAGATTGAGGAAGAACAATCAAAGATATGACTAAACTAATGCTAACCAAGGTGCAAATCACCAAATACTAACAGCCTTACCAATCTTTCAAGAGGAATGACACTCTCCCAAAACTACAACAATCACTGATCAAAGCATTCAACATGATTATCTCTCTCTAGTTAGCTCTATTTATAGAGCATTTACCTAACAAACAAGTTAACTTCTCATTCAAGCTACTAACAAATTTATTATCGTTAGAATATGACTAGATTATCAATCAAGGTTTGGCATAAAAGCTAAGGGATGAATTACTTGTGTTAAGCAAGGAAGAATTGAATGGATCAACTTCAGCTGGGTATATCTCTCAACCTACTTTGAATTTTGAGATGATTCAAGTTGGATGTGAAAGCTTGTTTCAATAGCTTTCCATCGACTAGTCATAAGCTTGATTCTAATAACATACAAGGAACTTATAGCTGTTTTGTGATGAGCTGTCTGAACTGACCTGTTTTACAATATATAACATTTTGAAGCCTTAGCTAAAACTTTATGAAATATAAATTAATCCTAAAATATAATATACGAAGTGTAATACTGCTATCATGCTAGAAAAAAAAATTCAAAGCATATAACTCTTAAGTTAAGATTAAAGTAATATGTGAAAAAAATGTTAAATACTATGGAGTATAGGCTAATGGGATTATTAGGATCCCAAATTGAAGCAAGCCCACTAACAAATAATGTGGATGTGGGGAATAAATAGTGATGTCTAAAGAATGGAGAGAAAAACAGTGCAACAAAATTCGAACTCTAGTCACGCGGGAGATACTCCTTTGAAATATTAAAACAACTGGATCTATCAAGGATAAACTACCCCCCCCCCCGGGCCGATTACGTCCCTGCTGAAACTAAGACATATTGTTGTTCACATTTCTCACGATAAATTCAGCTTCTTCATACAGCAGATACTATTTGGAGGGCAGTCAATCAACATGTACCCACGGCCATGAATAATAAATTGCAGGCAACATTGAATAGTGATACAGAAGCCAATGAAAGAAAGAAGAACCTGAGAGCTAATTTTAATTATGTACATAAACATTACAGTAAACTTAGCAGCTGCCCCTCAAAAAGAAAATAAAACAGCTAACTTGCTACAAAAACTGACATCTTAAAACTGCCAAGCATCTTCAATTACACTGACAGCTTATCACTAAAACATAACCTTATGTTCAGTTGCCAACCAGCATTTATTAACCACCAGGACTTTATGCATCTTAGCCATAGCGATAGGAGACTGTAATATGGTAAGTTATCATTTGGTTTAGCAACAATGTGAGAGAGACGGAATCAGTGAATCGCAGAAGTACAATGAAAACTGAGAGAGTTGATAAGGGGCCTTTAAAGCGGCTACCACAAACATTTTGTAATCACATGCATAATTTAAGGCTTTTTGGCAGACAATGTCATATATTCAGCTGCATTTTTATTACACTTACAACACTAAACACAAACTAGGGAAAGATCGAAAGGATTTTCAACTGTAGAAGATAAAAAAATTCCTCTTACCAGAAGCAAGTTAGACCTTTTGTCTCTCCTTCGGAAACCCT